AATAACAGAAGTCTAATATAAATTCTAGTAAAGAACAACCATTATTTTAAGTTGATAAAATCCTATCTAATAAAACTGTTGGAAGAAAATGGGTCGTCCACGTGAGCTGACCTGATCCGACCTGAATTACATGAGAGTGTTATTGGAGGGAGAAGTTGAAGAAGTTGAGAAAATTGAATTTGAAACTCAACTCCTCACAACCCACAACTCCCGTATACAACTTCCACCACAAAAAGAAAAAGATATGCATACACAAATTTGTATGAAAATCAAGAGAGAGAAATACATGTGGGTGGTGGCTTGTTTTTGAAGTATATCATCTCTAAATTGGTTCTTAGATTGTAACTATCAAATTCTTTTCTTTGTGATCGAATTTCCGACCAAGGAGTGAGTACAAAGCAGTGTAGGAGACAAGCAAACAAAATGCAAGTGATTCAACCTCGTTTTAATGGTTTCAAGTAAGTTTTACAATTTGAATTTCCGTTAGAAGCATGCAAGCATGTTTTATAAAAACACTAATGAAATCTTTCTTAAATCAAACTCTACCATCAATCTAATCTTCGCATATCTTCAAACTACAAATTTCAATATCAACAATAACAATAATCAAACTACAAATGAAATCCACGTCCTATTTATAAAGCATAGAAATAAAGTCTAAACGAACTTCTAGTAAGTAATAGTTGTTTGAAAATTTTGATTTTACACTTATCCGCACCACGATAAGTGGACATCTTTGAGTGCTTTTATTTGGTAGATATTTAATTATGCATGCTTTATTTGAGGAAAAGTATCGAATTTGAAAGTTGAAGAGTCCAACATTCAATATTTGAGAATGAACAAGAAATTGGATCCAGGCATCAAAACGCCAAAGGGTAGAAAGTGGACAATGCAGAAGAACCTGCAATTGAAAATGATATGTGCTAGAGGTACATAATGGGCACCATAATGGACACTTGGTGTCCCATCATTGGAGGGCCATCGAAAATACCTAACCATGTGATCGGATCTTGTCTGACTATGCTATCGCATGGTTTTGACTAGCCCATATTTTTCTTTCTCTACTTCGACTCAACCTCTACATTGGATATAATTTGGGGCTCGATTTTAGACCTAAGAGCACTACTATAAATAGTTTTATTCATTCTTTTCATTCAGGGGCACAATTTAGAGAGAAAAGCATATACAATTTAAGATCTAAATGAAAGAAAGGGAGGAGAAAATTTAAGAAGCCAGGGTTTCAAGCGTATAACTGGAAAAATGAGAATCTTGGTGTAAAATCGTTGACTTTTCTTCGTCTTTAGTTAAAATTTGGTGATAAACTAAATCTTTTATTCTGTTTCTTTCACCATCATGTGTACATAAACTAATAGTTGAAACAAATGATGTAACTATTGTGATTCCCTAATTTAAATTTTCAAGATTTTTGTAGTTAAGTTTTTTATTTATTAATTCTACTTGTAGTTCTTAATGCAACGAAATAATTGACCATTATTACATGAATTGTAAATTTGTAACGAATAAAGAGGCACCTGATCGTTTGAATTCCCACGAGTATATGATATCACGAACAAATAATAAAATGATAAATAAAGTATCATTCCTACGAGGACTATGTTCTCAATCTAGTGCCAATTAATCGTAATCTTAATCGAATAGCAAAGCGTGTTTGAATGATTTATACTAATTATTCTAATTTAAACTAACTATTCTAATGAGCAATTTATGAAGCATTTGTAAATTTAGGTGATATGCTTATTAAGACTTTGAATCTCTCTTATTAATTTGTTATAATGTAATTAAATAACATAACAAAATGTACATATTCTTGTTGATCAATGTTCCTAAATTAATTAAAAAATATCTCGATGTCAATTAAATTTATCTTCTTATGTAACCTTCATATATCTCTACGAAAGATGCGAACATGTAAACATAAATTAAAAATGTTAGAGCATCTATAGAAATCATGCCAAGTATAGCAATATATCTCCATCTGCTATCGGACTTTACAATCGATGTTATAAAATGCTATCTATCATATTGTTTCTTTCGAAATCAATAAAATTCACAATCAATCCAATTAGCAATCAAGCAATTAAAAATGCAATAAATTCTATAACAATCATTCAAGAATAAACACATATTGTGTGTCAACTTATCGAATTTATATTAAAACTCATAATAAAGTTTCATCAATGCCTTAGTAATTGAAACACTAGCCTAGCATTACAAAATTACCAAAAATCATAACTAATTGGAAAAAAAAAAACGAATTATAGATTGATGAAGAAAAAGAAGTTGGATCTTGAAATCTTGAATCCCTTTGATGATTTATTGATGAATCTCTACTATATCTTCTTGTTGTTCCCAAAAACCAAGGTTTGATCTTCAATTGGTTAAAATCATGCAATTGCCCTTTAATTCTTAATGATTTGGCCTCTCTTTGATGATGCTAATTGAAGATTTTAGGAGTATCAAAAGTCTTCTCAATATAATGTGGAGTTTTGTATTTATATATAGGTGTTGAAAATAGATGAAAATAGCGTTAGAATTAGTGTTTGGAAAGAATTTTATATAAAACAGGATACAGTGGCGCCTATGCGCTTCTTGTAATTTTTCAATTGTGGAATTTGGTTCTCACATTCGATTCTTGATTCTTTAAAGTTATTTTTTCTTAAAATTTCTGTCTTTTAACTTTTGATTGAATCCAATTGAACCTGTAATATCTTCCATCATCGCTTAGTGGTCATAATCAATTATTGAAAAGTTGCAATTTATACCCCAAACTTTGAATTTTGCTCTTTTTAGCCGGTTTTCACTTCTTTCTTCAATTCCACGTCCAATCATCGAGTTTTACCTAATAAACAAAATATATAACAAACTAGGCTATAATTAATCAAAAGAACTACTAAATATTTATATTTTAAAACTCAAATAACTGTATAAAATAGAATTATTAAAGATCTCTAAACTTAAATCTTTATTTGCCCTCAAACAAAATCATTACCCAACTCACACTAGAAAATAAGATACTCTCCAAATTTATGTCTGATGTTGGAGGGAAGCTTGTTGGGTTAGTTTAGTCCATTCTTCAACTTATTAAGCATGCCTCCAATTTGACATCATTGTACCTTTGAAAAATGAAAGAAAACAAATATAAGAGTTAAAAAAATTAGTTTAAATGTTAGAATGTGGCATGTATGATGACCATTTTTTTACGCTCCTATAGCCTTGAAACATCTGTCACATGATTCTTTTACTGTATTTGACTCAAATAAAACTTTTTTCTTCATCTAGGGTTGATGTAAACATGACGAATTTTATTGAAACAAAACTATTCCTAAAACTACTGTAACCTATCAAACTATATACAATGCAAATTCATAAAGCATAACAAATAAAAGGGTCAGAAATTGGGTTGCATCCTAATAAGCGCTTAAATATAAAGTATTTAGCTAGACTTTGTTGATGTATTAATCATGGTGATTCAAAATGTATTTCACTTGCAAAGTTTTGATCACAATGTTCAGCATTACCAACCCCTTTTTTTATTCTCGATGCTTGAAGAGCTCTTTTTCCATTATTGAGGTTCTCAATTGTTCCACCAACTCCTTTTTTATATTGGCAACTTAAATGCTCTTTCATTTCTTCCTCCTTAACCTTTATGTTATTCTCTTTATGGGATGACTTCTCGATAGTGGTATGGATTTTCAACTTCTCTTGCTCATCATCCACCCTCAAGGTCAGTCCCCTTGCTTCAAAGTCCATAATAGTCCGACTTGTTGATGGGAAAAATCAACTCAAGATTAGTAGTGATGCAACACATGGTTCTTCTATGTCTATGATAATGAAATCTTTTAGAATATAAACTTACCCACACTAATGAGCTCATTCTCAACGACTTCTCGAGGGCATTTGATTGATATGTCCGCTAGTTGAAGGAAGATAGTAAGAAAAAGGCAAGAACCTGCCATTGGGAGTGAAACAACAATTGGAAAGCTACTATTACCCTGTAAGTTGAGAAGCAAAATGAAGAATCCACCTATGGAGGTGCTTATGTCTAATTAGCTAGTTAGGAAAACAATAGCTTACCAAAATAATGATCAATAGACCACCTCACAGGCCCCCTGATTGATTCTACCATAGAGATCGACGATAGACAATAACTTTTCCCTAAACACAGCGCTTTCATTGTATTGTACTCTCCCAAGAGCAACTCTTCTCAAAATCTCACTCAAATGGTG